TATAGCTCCACATAACAATTAAAAGTTTTTATGGGAGAATTCAATCATTCACGCTATGATTATAATTATAATTTAAAGTTTGTGCATTTGTTTGTAACATGGAGAAGGAAGCGAGATAGACCCATAGTTACTTTTGAGGATATCCATAGAATCACTTTCTAAGTTGATTTATGCATGTCAGTCCGTCTGTCCGTCCGCCCGTCTGTCCGTCTGTCCGTCCGTCCGTCTGTCCATGTATTCCTGTGAACAAAATGCAGGTCGCATTTATTATCCGATTGAGATGATATTTTGCACATATCATTTGTTTGACCCAAGGACGAACCCTATTGAAATTGGAAATAATCGGTCAAAATTTAGATATAGCTCCCATATATATATTCGTCCGATTTGCCTTTTATTGTGCACCAAACGTGTAATATCAGGCCGAAAATTATGGAATTTTGCACATACAACCAAATTAGGCCTTAAAATAAGTATGCCAAATTGGATCGAAATCGGTTCAGATTTAGCTATAGCTCCCATATATATTGTTCATCCGATTTGTTATTTTTGTCCTCCGCAGCCGTAATATGCACTCTGTAACAACAATATATCAAATACAGCTCAGAATATCTTTGCCAAATTTTATCGAGATCGGTTCAGATTTGGATAAATCTCCCATATATATCTTTATCCGATTTCAAATTAATTGTGCACCAAATTGGCCATACAAGTCCGAATTTAAAAGACACAAATGCTTCGGTATGTTTCTCTTTTGAACTTTAAATTATAATTATAATCATAGCGTGTATGATTGAATTCTCCCATAAAAACTTTTAATTGTTATGTGGAGCTCTACTAAATTATCAAAGTGGTGTAGGGTATCAAAAAGTCGGCCCCGTCCGACTTTAGGACTTTCTTTACTGGTTTTCATTTTGACTTACTATTTTCAAATGTACATTTGTAGTGTTTTTTTTTTCTTTTCGATTTTTTTGTTTTTGAAAATTAATATGATGTATAGTCTTTTTACAGTAGTATAAAGCGACAACGGAGAAAAATGCTATTTATAGATCTTAGGTATTCAGAAGGCGATACAAAATAAAGAATTATTTCCACCATATAAAAGAAAGTAATGTTAATTACTACGCTTAAAACGCACGAACGGCTTGACGGACTTTAACAATTCATACAATTTCGGAATGGTATCTTGCCAAAAAAAAGAAATAATAATAATAATAAATCCCGTGAAAATTTGCCAGTAAAAATGTGAATGACGATCGCTCATGTCTAAAAGTGGCATTTAGCTTTCAATTCCAGGACCTACATCGTGCTTCAGCTGGAAGATGCGAACATATTTTAACAAACAAAATTGACCGACAAAGCGTTATGGGGGCTCATTTCAAAACGTGGACCTCCTTCTTTCACATGACAATAATCCGTCCAATGAGAACTCAAAATGCAAAATTCATTGGAACTGCAATCAGCGAAATAGGGAATATAAAGGATGCAAAATAGTAGAGCGGATTTGGATGGATTTGTTCCTAAACTTTCAAGATACCTTAAATAGCTTTTGCAGGTCATCACATGGGTCATAACCCCCGGATAAGGGTACAACCCGATTTCAAGTATATATTCGTCATACTAATTTCGGCAAATTTTGGTAGTTTGAGAAGAAACCATCCTTGGAAAATATTATTAGGTTTTGGTATAACCATTATATGTTTTAAGCTATTTTCGAGGTCACTTTTTTCATTTTTTGGACCTTATTTGGCATCTTTTTTCTAAGGGGTAGAGAATCCCTGCGCATACAATTTAAAATTTTCAGAGTGGGGTCCATGGTAGAATGTAGAAGGTAAAGTCATGCAAACGTATGTGAAGTTAAATTTGACAAGGTAAATTACAGAAAATGTAGAGATGGGTTTGCTTATTTGAAATGACTTTACCTTCTTAATTTTACCATGGTAGGGCCCATTTTAGTCTTGACCACATTCATCAATTGATTTGGCTAAAAATTGTATTTATGCTACTCTGGGGTAGAGAACCATCTTACAGTTAATAATGCCTAAGTGGACAATTATCTGTAATTATCTGTCCAATGTGTGGACAGTACAGAACATTTTGTATTCTATTAAATTTGTAACACCCAAGAATATTAGATGGAAATGTAGATTTGGGATGTACGTTCATATGAAATAAACTCCAAAATGTGAAACTGTGACTCATTCAGTAGGAAATTGCGGCAGAAACATGAAACAATTCCGAATATAAGAAAGTAGCACGTGACCAAACATTTGTTTGATCATCATTGAATTATGCTAATATGAAAAGTATGGACTTTATGGGGTCTCCAACACACACTTTAAATGACAAAAGAATAGTTCCCATCTTACGGGTGTAAAAGAGTAATTATTATTGACTATTCTAAATCATTCTGCCCTCAATTACGAGGTAGACAAAATTAAATACCACCTATTATGACCGACAAATACCAATTTTTAGACAAATCAGTGAAAAAATGTGGCAAAAACCATCAAAATACCGAATATCGGGAGGTATCGTTATATGGGGGCTAAACGAAGACATGAACTTGCACAGACAATTTTCAGTCTTAAGATGTAGTATCCATTTCGAACTTCAAATACCAAATTTGAAACAATTCCGGTGAATAATGTCGCTAAAATCATCAAAATACCGAATATCGGGAGGTACCGTTATATGGGGGCTATTTGAAAACGTGGACCTACATGGCTCATTTACGAACTTAACCTGCCTACTGGAAAAATAAACATGTATGCAAAATTTTAGCCTTCTATCTCAGTACATACGAAAGACAGCGTGATTACAATAGACAGACGGACATCGCGAAATCGACTTAGAATTTTACGCTGATCAAGAATATATATACTTTGTTGGATCTGACATGAGTATTTCGAGGTTTTACAAACGGAATCACAAAGTTAATATACCCTAAATATGAAAATATGCATTAGAAACTAAAAGTATGGGTCGGCAACGCGGACCGGGCCAGCTAGTAGTGTATAAAAATAGAAGTTTGCAATGCGATGCAAAGCAGACGGTGCAGATTTTGTGAATGATTTCGTGGAAAATGGAATGGAAGATTTTGCAGTTCCGAAATTAACATTGCGGGATAAACTAAAAAAGTGGTGTATGGAAACGAATTTTTTTCAATATCAACGGAAGAAGGTTTAGACGTCCCGCTCACTAGAGAAACTTTGGTGGGCAGAGCAAAAAATATGTTAACGAGAAATGTCGCCCCTGAAATTTATTGTCATATTGTTACTTACTAAATGCATTAAAAATGTAATGTTTTTAAATACTTATTCTATTACAAGCATTTTTCTAAAAACCTTCAAATTACCATTTGGTTCAAATGTCTCCATATAATTTCAAAAGATCTAATCTTTAGACCCTACACCACAAGGTGGTCAGGGTATTATGTCTTTGTGCATTTGTTTGTAACAGGCAAAAGGAAACGAGGTAGACCCATAGTTCCTCCTGATGATATACATAGAATCACTTTCTGAGTCGATTTATGCATGTCCGTCTGTCCGCCTGTCCGTCCGTCCGTCTGACCATGTATTTTTGTAAACAAAGAACAGTTCGCATTTATTGCCCTATCCAGATAAAATTTTGCACAAATCATTTGTTTGGCTCAAGGACGAACCCTATTGAAATTGGAGATAATCGGTCAAAATTTGGATATAGCTCCTATATATATCTTCGTCCGATTTGCCTTTTATTGTGCACCAAACGTGTTATATCAGTCCGAATAGTATGGAATTCTGCAAGTACGATCAGATTGAACCTGAAAATTAGTATGCCAAATTTGATCGAAATCTGTTCAGATATAGCTATAGCTCCCATATATATTGTTCATCCGATTTGTTATTTTTGTCCTCCGCAGACGTAATATGCACTATGTAACAACAATATTTGGGGAAATATATCAAATACATCTCAGAAATACATTTGCTAAATTTTATCGAGATCGGTTCAGATTTGGATATAGCTCCCATATATAACTTCGTCCGATTTACCTTTTATTGTGCACCAAAAGTCTAATATTTGCCCATACTGGATGGAATTTGGCACTTACGACTGAATTGAGTCAAGAAGCTAGTATGTCAAATTTGGTGAAGATCGGTTCAGATATAGCTATAGCTCCCATATATACTGTTCATCCGATTTGTCATATTTGTTACCCAAAGCCGTAATATGCACTCCTTAACAACGATATTCAAGGAAATATATCAAATACAGCTCAGAAATATCTTTTCCAAATTTTATCGAGATCGGTTCAGATTTGGATATTGCTCCCATATATATCTTTATCCGATTTCAAATTAATTTTGCACCAAATGGGTAATACAAGTCCGAATTTAAAAGATACAAATGCTTCGGCATATTTAGCCCTTTGAACTTTAAATTATAATTATAATCATAGCGTGTATGATTGAATTCTCCCATAAAAACTTTTAATTGTTATGCGCAGCTCTACTAAATTAGCAAAGTGGTGTAGAGTATCATAAAGTCGGCCCCGACCGACTTTAAGACTTTCTTTACTGGTTTTCTAGTGATTTTTGGTTCAAATGTCGCCATCTAAATTTGATAGAAAATTTAAGCCCTAAAATGGCATACGTAAAAAAAACCACGTATTCGGTCGACGTTAGTCAAGTTTATTTCCTCGAAAGTTTGAATTTTTAAAGTTGAACATTTTTAACATTAACAGAACTTACTTTTCCTTTTTTCTGTGTTGGATATAGAAAGTATCAATTTAACAACGTCATTGCACATTATACCATAGTGGAGAAGTTGAACAGCTATGTGCGCTACGTCAAATTATATATAACGCCTTATTTGAAGTTATCGACTCTTGGTAGAAGTTTTTCATTTTCAGAAAAAAAAATTAAGTAGTTAATGATGGTGCAATACAGTTAAAGGACATTCTTGCTGGGACTTATACTTTTTGACACGTTAAGTATATTAAATAAAAACTAGGGTTTAAATGGTGTATGTTTAAGTTTATTTTTCATTAAAATCTTAATTTACTAAAACGATCCAACTAAAATAATATTTGATAAATGGTTCATAGATACACGATTAATCGTTGTTTTCATATGAAAAATAAGTAGAATGAATATACAAAGAGAAAGGAATAAAAAATGTATCAAATTTGCTGAAGATTTATGTCCGACTTCTCTTTTTCGATATTTATATTTACTGTTTTAATAGTTATAATAAAGATTTATACATGTTTATACTTTAAAGTCGTAGATTTTTGTTTGTTGTAGTTTGAGGGTTTTTATTAGATAAGAAAAATGTACAAACTCAAAATATACGCATCACATTTGTTAAGAATTCACCCACACTTTTCATTGATGTACCAAATAATTTTAAAATGATTTAGTTTTTTTGTTTCTACATTACATTTTTTGCTGGATTATTTAACCTAGTGGTAGAAAATATAGAAGCAATGTATTAAATGATAATTCAAAAACGTTAAAAATGCATTCTCCTACATACCCGAAATTCTGGCAAAAGCCAATGAAGATCTTTCATAATTATAACATTTGCCAATTTGGGCACAGATACTGGACTCATCAATAACTATGCTCTCAGACAAATGCATGATACTTTTGCCGTAAACTTGAACCATTTCCGAGCACTGAAAAACATGAAAAGTAAATTGTATAAATTTTTCCGCTGACACAAAAACAACTTAAAGTTTAACTTACAATCTTATAATATTTAGCTGGTACATTTTCACATGCAATTTCAATCAAATCGCTGACGCCAATTGCATCATGTTCGGTATGTTTTCTCAAATATGGCAAAAGTGAAGAGGATGCACCATGACAAACTCCGCACTCAATAACTTCATCTAAGAAAATGGATAAATTTAAAGTGTTTTGTTTATTTTATTCATGTCTTCTTGTTGCTACCTGTAACCACTTCGCTTAGGCCTGCAAAGCACAACTGCATACGTTGGCAAATTTCTTTGGGTGGTACACTGCCAATTAGAGTAATAATTGCGTTGGCATATTGCTCTACAAACTTATCGCAGCTCTTGGCCACTGTTTTGGGCATGCGATTGCAAATACTTTCAATGGCACGTTTAATATCTTCCTGTTCGGTTTTATTCTTCAATTCGGTTTCCAATTTTGTCATTACAAATTCACACAGTACACATGTTGGCGGTTCTTGTATGGTCATCGACTCGTCCAAGCCACTGTAGCGATCATTTTTAGCCAAGACAACGTTCTCCTGGGGCATAGCAATAACATCGTATTTCAAAGCTTCATCAATTTCCACTAGAATATAGAAATGCCAATGTAATTTATTTCCCTTAAATAAATTACAAATACTTACAGTCTTCCTGTTCACTGAAAAGACATAGACCCAATTCGGCACAAATTAATTTCGGATCCATTTCTTTCAATAAAAATTCAGCGATTTTGTCACCATATTTATCCACGTATTTATGGCATTTTGGTCGCAAATTTGCACGCATTTTTTCGCATGACCTTTCCAAAGCTTTCTTAATGTCATCCTATAAAGTAGAAATTTTCATAGATTTAATATATATTTGTAAATGTTAAAGTACAAGAAGAAATGAAGTGAGGTTATATTATAAATAAATTGAAGTTTAAAATGTAATACATATGAACTGAAAAGAATAACTAATAGGTAGGGATACTACTACAAAAAAAAAAACGAATTATTATCGACGTAAATTTAAGACTATCTGAAATTAATTTTTCGAAAAGTTGCAAAGGAGTATACAAATGAATTTGACTTCAAAAGAAAGTTCAGTATGTGTCGTTTTATGGTCTGAAACCACGTTAGAAAAATATCTAGCACATATGTGGGAAATGTTATATTAAAGAAACCCATTCGTATATTACCTCAGACATAATGACATTGGTAAACTGTTTAAAAACAATTACATAATTACAGAAAACAAACAAAAAACTAACTCTTACCTTTGTGGTTTTCTTATTGATACGTTTTTCGGCTATTTTCACCATTTCTTCACACAACAAACAATTGGGTGTAATACCTTCATTATGCTGTTGGAATACAATTTCAACAGGCATATCTTCGTTGTTAACAATTTCGTTAAATGCTAAAAAGACGGAAAGCTTTAAAATATCCTACTCGTTTGTTTTTTCTAGGTTACGTACACATATCATTATCGATTTCCTGGCTGGAGCTATCGTCTTCAACACTAATACCTAGTTCTTCCAAATAGTTATTTGATTTGGGGCACAATTTTAGGGCAACACAAATCTCTTGGGGTTTAAAGTCGCTAATAAGCATATCGATCAATTCCGAGGAGTAGGTATCGACAAAATCAACACATTCGTTTTGTAGTTTTTGTGGCAAATGATTGCACAAATTGTCCAAAACATTTTTAATGTTTTTCTGCAAAAAATAATAGGGGATTACAGTTATTAAAGATATATTAAAATAAGTGGCATTACCTTTGATTTGTCACCCTTGATCTTTTCTTGGGCTTGTTCGACAGCAAACAAACATAGAGGACAAGTGGGCTTATCTTGTTCATCAGTGGCTTTGGGTGAAAACACTTCCATGTCATTATGGTTTTCATGATGTTTTGGACACATTTGCATCTTCGGGCATATTTCAACGGGATTCAAACCTTGAATCAATAGAGCCACTACAGCATCTCCATACATATCGACAAAATCATCACATTTGCCACGAACACTGGCAGGTAGTTTTTCGCAAATATTCTTAACGGTACGTTTGATTTCATCTTCGGTAGATGGCGTGGCCAAGGTTTCCTGAATGAAATGCAACAGATATTCACAAATGGTACACAATTCTCCATTATTGACAAGTTGGAAGGGATTAGCAGCACCCATCAAATGATCAATGGGTAAAGTCATAGCTTTGAGTTCTTCTTGGGTAAATTTGGGTTCATGGGCACCCAACTTCTTGCGTATGGTTATTTTTACTTCAGCTGGTGGTATGGCTGGCAATAATGGCATTATATCACCCTTATACATGGAATTGGAACCTTTGGGACAAACTCCAATGAGGAAACAGGCACCATTGGCGTCTAGATTATCAACCAAAGATTTGTATATAACACTGTAGTATTGGTCCACAATACTCAAACATTCTGCTTTAAATCCTTTAGTTTGATTGCAGAGTCCTTCCATGACCTGTTTGAATTCTTCCATTGTTGTATTGGCCACCAGTAAATCACGCAAATGATGTACCAATTGTTGACACAATTCGCAAGGAACATCATCGTTACCGGGAGCCATAAGATCAACGGGTTCTTCTTCTTTGGGATCTTCAGGATGTTGATGATATTTGGCAGCACAAACGCCGGAGATGTGACATACACCAGCAGGTTCAAGATTCTCTTTAATGTGATCATAGATATCATTGAAATATGTCAATACAATATTGGCGCAAGCATCCGAGAATGATGACATTTCACCGCAAAGATGTAACATATTTTCCAAGATATCATCACGATTGCTTGAATGGAATTTATTGGTCATTAGTGTGGCCATATTGAAACAATTGCCACAGGTTAAAGATGCCTTCTTCTTTTCGGGTGCAGATGTTGGCATTGGTTTCGGAACAACTTCGACACTTGAGGAATCTTCTTCACTTTCACGTAATGTTCCATCGAAAGCAGCGGTATAATATTTATGAAGAAGCTTATCGATTTCGGCGTTGTTGCAGAGGCCAGCAACGGAACAGACTTGCTATAATGAAAAAAATAATAATGTTGCAGTTTTTTTAATTCTTGTACAAATAATATAAGCTGTTATTAGATTATCAAGGCTGTAAAGATGGATTTATAAGAATATCTCACAGAGAAAATATATATAATAATAATATGTTTTAATTTGATTCATTCCTTAAGACTACAAATCGAAAACCAACTTACATCTGGATTCATTTGCGATGACAAAGCCTCAACCAATTCTGGTATGAAATCATCGGCCAATTTGCAGCATTCCTTCTTGACAATCTTAATAGGAATCAAATTACATGATCCCTCGAAAACTTCTTTCAATTCTTCCATAGTTTCATTGCTACGCAATTGATCACGAGCTTGTGTCACCATATCTTTGCAAATCTGGCAAATGGAATCATTATCGACGGGTACCTGATGACTTTCCCAAACCGTTTGAATACAATGACGTACAGCATTACAACCTTTAGCATTGCTGAAAATAGACAAAAAACAAAGGAAATCAGAAATTTGCAATAAATTTTCTTTAAAAATAGCAACAAAGAAATTCTACAAAATATCTGAAAATAATAACTGGCATATGATAAGGCGCTCAGCCATCACTTGTAAAATGCAAGTAAACACATTAAACTTGAATGTGTGCCGATAAGATAAAGATGGGTGCCCTTGTTTTTCTATGTTTGTAGAAGTACTGATTTTAGAGTGATATACTTTTGAATGAAAAATAATCCTTTAGAAATTAATGACGAAATTTCAAGGTAGTGTGATATCAGAAAATTGGATGAAAAGGAACAAATTTTGACTGGAGTACTCAAAGTATACGGGTTACAAACGAAGGTTGTTACAGTTGGTAGAATTCTACCAAAATGGGTAACTTTTTTCAGTGATCTTAACTTCGATTTTGTTTTGGTAACTTTTTAAGATGTAAAATCTCGTTTCCGCATTTTTCATTAATTACAAATAGATCATTGCAAAATAAACATTGTGAAGTTATGCCAAATTATTTAACGGCGTCATGTTGTTCTATTGTTTGTTAATAAATACTATCTTTGAAAATTGGCGCAATAAAAGAAATTTAATCAAAGTGTGAAAATCTTAAACAAATTAAAAATATTGTTCAGATTGACTTCTGCATGGATAAGTAAGTATAAACACTACTCTTTTATTACAAATATATTAAAATATATTTTTCGCCTATTTTTATCATTAAAAAACAAAAACTGGTCAAGGACGTGTTAGTTTTGATCAGTGACCATTGAACATTAAACTTCCAAGGATCATCGGTAAAAAAATATTGAATGCGTAAAACAAAATATTTGACAAGATGTATATTTCTTACAGAAATTATGAGAAGCAGCAGTTTCCTTGGTTATCGGAAAAAACAGGACAATGTTACTGTTCAGTCTGCGAAATGACATTAGTTAATCATTTGTCACATTTGAAGAATCACCCAACAACAAGTGCTTGGAACAGAGGAAAAATCAAATTAAATTTGACCAGTGTTTTACCGAGGAGCAGAGATTTTTGAATAAGAAAGTAATGGAGGCAGGATCGACATTAGTGATGTTTTGAATTTCCCACAACCTGCCCTTCCTCTTAATGGATTCTTTGGATTTCCGGGAAAGCTGTCCAGATTCTCGCATTGCAAAATTAATTAAATGTGGGCGAATTAAAGCTGCTCATTTGGCTGAGACTTTAAGAAAGCCTGTGAAAACATAACATCAACAATGCGGTCCTCAAAATGTTCCCTTATTGTTGATGAAACAACGAACGTATCGGATCATAAATGCTTGGTATTGGTCGTGAGGCACTTTGACAAAATTTCTAAATCAATCAAGGACAGGTTTTTATCTTTACTGGAATTGGTTCAAGCTGACGCGAATTCCATGTACGAAACAATCAAGTGCTTTTTCGATCTGAATAATATATCCTTAGAAAACCTAATTGGTTTGGCAACGGACGAAGCAAGCACTATGACTGGAGAATTAAATGACTTAAAAACAAAATTTATGCGTGACATAGATTTATTTTATATACAATGTACAATGTGTTCAAGCTATGCATCCAAGAAACTACCACTGGATGTTGAACATCTGTGCAGAAAAGTACATTTTTTCACAAATTTACACAATGGAGACATCTTTCTTCATTAAAAAATTATCTCAATGAAGGAGTTGATATTTTATCATTCGGGCAAAAATAATTTTTATAAAAACGGACTTAATGAATTAAGCTTTAAAGCACTGACTGATTTGATATTTCATTTAATGTGCCTTCCACATAGCTCAACAGCAGCAGAAAGAACATGTTTTAACTTAAGTTTAATAAAAACCAAACTCGGAAACAGATTAGAATTTAATTCTTTAGACAATGGCTTCAGCTAATCACCGACATTGTCTTTGGTCAGGAAAAGATTATTTTAGAAACTGAATGCAATATTAATTAATTTATTTAAATTCGTACACATAATGAATTAAAATATTTTTTGTTCTAGAATGCATTAAAACCATTTATGTTATGTTTTGTTATTAATAAAAGTTGTTGTTTCCGGAAATGTGGCAACCGTGTTTGCAAGCGCCAGCGAGTTGCTCCTGTTTGAAAAATATGAGTGGCACTCAAAATGTTCCAAATAGAGTTCACTCTAAGAATGTAAAAATTGTTTTTTGCTGATTTGTGTGTTCTTTTGTGCGAAGAAGCAAAATGTTGTTGATGTTGTTATGGACTAAGGAAAAAAGAAAAAAAAAACAGCAGAATGTGCTGCAATGTAACGGCGGATTTTGTACCAAAACAACAAAAACAACCAAACTAGCATATGCTTTGTTGGTTGAAATTGCCGACAATGTCCTTCAACGTATTCATATTTGTTTCGTTTGCAGCGGTGGATCGAGAAAATACACATACTTAAAAATAAAAAATGCGGTATGACGAAAGGCGTAACCAGCAAGAGTGTCATTGTCTACCAAAGTGGATATCGAAATGCTTCACAACTATTTACACATCACAGCCATAGGATAAATCGCGATCGTAATGAATCTGTAATGACCCGAGTTTTACTTGTCCATTACACACCAGAAATATCTACGTAAATATTTGCAATGCAGAGAAATTTATGTTAATGCACCAACGATCTTCTTTAATGATCTACAAACATCGTCAATAGTGAACACTGTGAAAATAGTGCATCAACCGACGGTGTCCGGAGCCACAGATGGTATCGAACAGCAAACGAAAATGTCCAAGCCAAACTTTGGTTCTACTTAAAAAGCCTTTACGGCAGTTCGGATTTGTTTAATTGTCAAAGTAATCCAACAAGTCTTCGTTCTATAGGTTTATGAGCAAAAAAAAAAAAAAAAAATAATAATGTGTTGCAGTTTCTGCCCATATTGGGCAGAAACTCCAATAATTAATAAACATTCTTCCAATTTTTTTTCCAAATCTAATTTAAAATTTCGTTGGGGAACCTTCGATGCCAAACAAACTGTTAAAAAAAGCAAATCCGAGCCGACAAATCAGTTGATTTCACATTTACCACAGTTGAGATTTGGTTAATAGAATCTGATTTTTATGTAAATTATAAATATTATGGCATATTTCCATGTTAATGTAAAAGTTTTATTTAATAAAATTAATATTGCAGTTGTTGTACAAAAGAGCATTTTAAAAACTGCTAAATTAAAACTTAAACTGTTCAAATTAAAACTTTTATTGAACCTAAAAGCACAGCCACTCATGGCTCCAGTAGCATATTTCCAGGGTGATAACAGTGGAATTTCTGTAAAGAATTTGTTTATGAACACAAACAGCTGAAATAATCATTTCATGTGAAAAAATGTATATGCCGCACAATGCATTTTTTTAACATATATTGTTTTGAATGGGATAAGAAATGAATCACAAATAAAACATACAAACATAATAACGAACAAATGTCATGTACGATAATATTACATTTATATATCCAATCAAAAGCAGGCATGTATTTGAAAAATGAATGACAAATCCATTGTCCGTCCCATGAAGCGAAGATTAATAACACTTTATAAAGACTACAACAAATTCGCAAAATAACTCATAAAATGATAAACAGAGGTTTGAACTAATATATAAATTTTAATTGGGTTGGGTTTTAAATTTCCTTAAATAGACTTCGTTTTCAATATTTTTTACGAATGCAATCAGTTTCAATTGTTTGGACATTTGATACAACAAACAAACGCAAGGCAAATCTTATTTGTGTATATATTTCCGATTTTTGTTTTCTGCACGATAAACGAGAAGCTGAGACGCATGAAAAATGCTTACATATACATGAAATAGTTTATCCAGTCTTGTCTGAATTCCATTATTTGGTCTGCTTCTGTTTATTATTGTCTACATATTTTATATTACATTGCAAGTAGCGGCTAAGTTGATTAAATAAAAGTATGATTATTTTCTTTGTTTTAATTTTAAGATAACTTGCTCAAAAGGCTAATGGACGATAGATAATTTTTTTTAAAGAATCAAAATTAAAAATGAATTTGTTTTCCTTTGATAAAGCGTGGTACGACAAATTTTGGGAACCTGATAAAATTATTTGCAATTTGGCGAATGCATTAAGAATTTGAAACCAATTGCAATGCAACGAAATTAGTATATACCCTAAAAATGTTTTTCTATTAAGTACAGTTTTTTATATTTAGTTCGGCTAAGACAATTACTTCTTGTCATTCACCTTGTAATAGAAACACGTGATATTTCATTATAAAAGGCAAACACCAATATGATTTAAATAAACCTTTAGCATTTATTCTACATAGCAAATTTCATATATTTTCCTTTTTTTAAACAATAATCCAAATTCGGAGTCCGGCTATGTAGCGGAATATGTCTTTTGCACCAAAATTTTCCAAAACCCCTTTAAAAGATAAGACTTCTAAGAAGTTACTTTGAAAAGTGTTCGCTATCTTGATGTGGTAACCGGCTTTTGTTATGGCAAAGAGAAACGGCTCTTATAAAAATGAATGAATCTAAAATCTTGGTAACATTAAATGGGCAAAATGTAATCCTTATTGAACCGTTAATGAAGTTTAATACTAAACGCATTTCTTAGAAATGTTGTATTGAAAAATCTGACCTTAAGAGTTCTTTTATTATTTATTATAGTTTTTTTTTTTTTCTTATCCGGTACTTTGATAAAAATTCGGTAATTATCTTTAGAAAAATGTTTGAAGTAAAAGATCCAAACAATCAAATCAAGCGTCCAATATACACATAGACTTCTAAATTCCCTCATATAAATTAGTCGACTTAATTGTTGGTAAATAAAAATAATAAACACATTTACTTAAAGCGATTCAAACCGCCCTTACGCATTTGCACAACAAACAAAACAAATACACATATGTAACGAATCATTTATACATATCGAAGCCAAAAGGCAATATATTAGCTAATGCCGGTATATCTTAGTCATCAAAAAACTGAAACAACAAAATACAATAATTGAATTAAAACAATTTCATGTAAGATTCACATGACAAAATGCAGTATGTTAATTAGAAATACAGCACCATTTCCTCCCTTCACATTCTGCATCTTCCTCTCAAAGTAATACAAATTACCAATGACTTATTGGTGGTCTACATCGTAATCTTAAAAGGAAGTTGTCCAAGAGAAAACAGATCATGTCTATGAACTAAAAAAATTAATTTCAAATCATTTGTTAAATTGTATTGCTATTAAACACAAGACCAGCATGTTATACACACATACATATATTCTGGTGGCTTCTTGTTAGACTACAAAGAGGTTATCGACAAATATACCATTAATACGATTTGTGCTAATTTTCTTGTTTGTTATGTGATTTGTATTGTTGTTGGTTTTACAATAAGAGCAAATAAGAAATAAATGAAAAATGCGCAAAAATGCACTGCATTATTATTTTAATTATTTACTTTGTCGAAAAAAATATTTGCATCGAGAAACAAATGTGAAATGTGTGGTTGTAATAAGATCGGCAACACAAGCAAATCCTTTGACCAACTTTCCATTTCATTTACACCAAAAGGTCGAACGTTTCACCCACATGAAATGGCATGTGATTTACTTTGGTCGAAACCCTAAGATGTTTGTTCAGTGTGCTCCAGCCAGGGGTGAGAGGACACAAGGTAGACAACACAGTGATTATCTCAATAGGTCAATCAAGTCCAACTATCCTGGAGTCTTTTAATATTATCACAGATGGCTCGTCCAGCCATGTTATGTTATTGCATTGGCCAGCCAAATTAATTATTAACTGGTGTAATACTCAGTTTGGCATGCTGAATCTACAGGCAAGCGGTCGAGGTCAATCCACGCCCTCTTTGAGATCAACTACGAGGAAGAAATATATATAACCTATTGCAACTCTATGAACACTAAAAAGAGACGGACCCGAAGTAGGTTTTCACCCAGAAAAGAGCTCTAATCTGTTCACATCAGATTGCGTGAGGTTCTGACTAAACGCCAGTTGATACATGAGTGATTTGTTCTCACTCTTATTAATTCAACATTAAACTTAACCTTTGGAACTGACATGACGGATGATCACCATAAACCCTTTTTGATATTCAGATCATTCTTATTTGTAAATTTACTAAGTGAATCCAATGGACGTTTAATCTCCAAGTATAGCTGATGTCTTTGAAAGAATAACAACAGCTTACTATTATTCTTATCAGTTTCAAATTGATAATTACTATAGAATGCATGGAAATCACAAAACAAATGAAATGACAAATCTAGGAATGAGTCTACCAAATCTAAAACAACGACAACACATATATTATTTGTGCGGCAAAAATGACATTAATATTTTCATTTTTTTCTTTTGTTTTGGCGAGGACTGTTGATTGCTGTGTTATTGACCAGCCTAGTTGTTTTTTCTTCTTCTTCTGGAAAAAAATTGTGTAGCTTAACCAAGCTATTTTTATAATTTTTCTTTCCAGCAGCAGTACAACACAAGAAAGGAAAAAAATAAGTAGAATTTTTTGGTTTTTCTGCAAACAATGGCCGCTTGTCGGTCGGTCGATGGGGCGTTGCAACAAATGACTACGCAATTTTTTATACATAGTTAATATTGATATTGTTGTTGTTGGACATTACAAATACAAACACATTTAACATAGCCTGTGGAAATGAACTACTCAAGTACAAACTTATCTGCTATTCTGTGAAGAAAAAACTTACGTTATGTTACTGCACCAATATGTAGGACCCCAGGTACATTTGTTTGCACCCACCAATTGTTGTTGGTGTACAGGAGATGCATTAATTAAACCCAAACCTAGGAAAACAAAGTGAAACAAAGAAAATGAAAATTAATTTTTGTTGATAAGTTTGTCTAAAACGCAAAAAGTTGTTGTTGTTGTTATTAGTAATAAACTCAATTATTTTGTTTTTAACAAACTCACACGCACACACTAACAAAAATACGGAAAATATTCGCGAAATAACAACAACAATATGCATTATCTATGACAACGCCATTTGCTAGTGGTGGTGGTGTCGTATTATGATTGGAAGAGGTATTAGTAATAACAAAAACTTATATTTTGTACTTACCCAACAAAGCCACTAGGGCTGCAATGGCACAAAGGCCAAGATTCGTTTGTTTCATGATCGACGTGGTCTTACTCAACTTCTTATACAAATTATTTTCTTAATTTTTCAAATCACAGTAGAAAAAGAAACAAGTACAATTTTTAATTGACCACAGTCGTATTGGAACAATTTCTGAAAATGTTATTAAATCAAACCTCTGTTCACAAATGCACTTCGAATGAATAATAGGGATACGAAAGTCGACTTTTGTTTAATCGATTTTTTAGAAAAAAAATCAAAAATCGATAACAAAAAGTCGACTTTGTGATTTTCCACTTTTTTAAGAATCGATTATTCAAAAGTTGGCTTGCTTTTAGATAAAAAATAACGTTGTCTGGCAAATAAGTAGTTTTTCGTTATTACAAGTTTCATTTTAATAGTAACTGATCGATAAGCAAAAGGTCAGACCTCTTCCCTTTATCTCTTAACTTAAAATTTATGGAATTCATGTTGCCTTATTTTATATTGATAATATGGCAATCACAGCAAACTGTATTCCAATAAAAAAAATGCATAACGCAAATCGTTTATTTTATATTGAAGAACTGAATGGAAGATTTGTATTACGAAAATAAATAAAAAAATCGTTTTGTTTATTTTTTTAACTAAAATGAAGATGCCACTACCAGTGACAACCATGTACATTTACAAATGAGTGCTAATTTTATTGCCATAACTTTGGAAAAATGCATATATTTCAAAGATGTAATAATGAGAAACCGATGATGTGAAATTTATTAATAAAAATCGCACATATATTCATTCATACTTAACAATTCAATCAATTTATTTATTTATTTAACAATTCAATCAATTTATTTGAAAATTTGTTCATCTTTGATGATTTGATGCAATAGAGTCTCATTTCGTCATATAGGCTTTTAAAACATGCTACATTTGCTTTTATTTATTTTACAATGTTTTTTTTTACAAAATTCTTATATTGGCAAACCATAATTTAGGGCGATGATATAAATTTTACAGGTAGCAGCAAACCCCAGCTGCTTTGACTCTATAGTAATACTATTGACACAAGTCATCAAATGACTCATCAGTGTTTTCATATTCGTAAACAATGTGTCTCCCCAATTATTTAAGGTTTTGGAGAAAAACAAGTAAAAAAGCTGTATGTTCGGCCGGCCACCATTCGGAACGAATTTGGTAATTTTCAAAAAATTTAATCCGTTATATTAGGGTCTATACGACGACGTGTACATGGCAACTTTTGTCTTAAGCCCATAAAATATTAAATTTTCTGTCTACGGCTGTAGTATCCATTACGAACTTCAAATACCAAATTCGAAACATTTTCGGTGAATAATGTCGCTTAAATCACCAAAATAGGGAGGCACCCAAGGTAGATGTACTAGGTAATCGCATCAGCCCAGCTGACGGCACCATTAAATGTCAAAACAAATTGTTGTAATGGTGAATTCGCCCTAAATGAATGCAACAACAAATTTGTTTATATTATTACCGCCGCTCGATGTTTGGTTTTCATTCTGAAAAAAGAGACAAAATGCAAGAATGTGAGTGGTTGATCATGGATTTTCAATAACTAAATACTCACCTGATTAATTTTGCGATTCTGTTGCTGGATATTATGTTGTTGGCTATTATTATTATTGAGATTTTGATATTCATATGCTGTTGTTGCTGCTATTGAATGTATGGCCTTTGGAGTGTTGGTGCCCTGTATAGAACGATATTGGTGTTGTTTTTTTTCTTTAAAATCATTTATTTTCTATTGAATATACTTTGCGACGTTCGTTTACGACAAGAGGCACACAAAATGAAATGTAAACAAACACCTCGTTTCTGATTGGTTGAAACAAATTTGCCGCAACCTTTAAATGTCATGGCGAATCTATGTTTTTTGCCTAGATGTCAATTTTGACATTTGAAGGTACAACAAAAGTTGCTTTGTTGTAGCAATTCGCCGATGCGGTTACCTGTTAGATCTACCTTGGAGGCACCATTATATGGGTCTATACCAAACCGTGGGCCAACAATACCAAAAGTCCTGCAGACATAATATACATTTGAGTAAAAGGTTATGAAACTACTTCATTTCGTTCGGTGATTTCCATAGACGGACGAACAAAATATCCATAGTCGGACTGCATGACTGAAATATATATACAAACGTCGGGACGGCGCGTACGCCATTCCCGGCTACCAAAAATTGCACGCACGAGTTATTCACATTAGGAATAATCGCGGAGGTCAACTCAGCCGAAAGTGCAATGGCCAAGCCTCGCTCCGGGGGAACCGCCTTCATGATCACGGTAACCCCTACGCCAGGTAAGTATGCCTTGCTCAGCCATTGATAAACTACTTATGAGTCATGTCGTAGAGAGTGAATGAGAATTTGTACAAAGCAACAAAACACAACAGGAATAACATTTGTCAACGAAATAAACATTTTCACAGTAGAATGAGATTTTGTCGGCTCAATATGACACATTGTACAAAAAACGATGTAAAAACAACCCTCTGTTGAATATGTGTAGATTTGTGGAATAATACAATGAACAAGTTGCAATCCATTGGTACCATGGTAGAAGAATTCAGGTAGATGCATCAACATTGATATGGCGAAAATTTTTGAATGTTCTTTCAAATATAAGTAGATTTTTATATGTTTTTTTACACGACGTCATTCTGCGGTTGTTATAATTTGCGTTTTTCAACAAATTTTAGAAATTTAAAAAATTTTTCATTCAACCTTTTCAATTCCAAAGTTGGCTTGACAGCTCATTGTCCCAGCAGCTGTGTCGATGCGTCTACCTATATTCTTCTACCATGATTGGTATATTGGTATACATACAACATACAGAGATCGCCAAACGAAATTATTCGGTGGAGAGGGAAATTAGATAGACCATAGTTCCTTCCGTCCGTCCGTCTGTCCATGTATTTTTGTAAAGAAAATGCAGGTCGCATTTAGTATTCGATTGAGATGAAATTTTCTAAATAACATTTGTTTGGCTCATGAACGAACCCTATTGAAATTGATGAAAATCGGTCTAAATTTATATATAGCTTCCATATATATCTTCATCCGATTTTAGGTTTCTTGTACACCAAATGGCTAATATAATTCCAAATGGTGTGAATTTTACTGCATCCGACCGAATTCAGCCTACAAGCATGTGCTTCAAATTTGGTGAAAATCGGTTCACATATAGCTATAGCTCCCATATATATGTTTCATCCGATTTTGGTGTTGAAGTCCCCTTACATTCGCTATATGCACTTCACAAGACTAATATTTAGCACCAGATATCAGATACAGGTTCAGATTTGGATATAGCTCCCATATATATCTTGATCCGATTTTAGGTTCCTTGTGCACCAAATGGCTAATTTCAGCCCAAATTGATTGAAATGTTTCACTTCCAAGCAAATTCATTCAAGAAGTTAATACTTAAACATTGGTGAAAATCGCTTCAGATATAGCTATAGCTCCCATATATATGTTTCATCCGATTTGGTGTTTAAATCTCCAACCATAATCATATTTTGTACCAGATATCTCATAGAGCTCAGAAATGCCCAATATAAATCTTTATTTTACGAGAGCTGTACTAAATATTATAGTGGTGAAGGGTATCATATAGTCGGCCCCGCCCGACTTTTGAGCTTTCCTTACTGGTTATTTATTGGCATAATCAACTATTTTTTCTTTCTTTTTCTGGCCATCATATGAGAAACTTTTCAAACCATTTTGAAAGTATTATTTTCAATCTTTCAAAATTGTCGTTGAAAACTTAAACACAATCCTTTTTAAACTGTTTAGAGCAGAAACTCCTCAATCATCCAGATGACTTTGGTTTTAAATACTGTTTATATTTTTGTCAAAATATTACTTCTTCTACCAAATATGGCAGCTTCTCATTATTTGGCATTTCTTGGGTTAACGTGATGACTATCTATGCTTTTAAACCACATATCGACACGTATGTATGCTACTTACAAAAAATCTCTGCTTACCAGTATTTTCGTTTGAAAATCTCAATTTGGGTTACAACCACAAAAAATCTTGTTTCATTAGAACCTGAAGGTCTTCTAACGAAAAACAAAAAACCTACCGCGAAATTCAAATACTTGAATTGCTGAAGCTGTTCTGAATGACAGATAAAACGACAAAAAAAAAACTGTGCAAATTTTGAACATTGCAAAACTGGCTAGAATCTTTTTATGTGGTGGCACTGCACACTGTCGAGGTCATTAACTTGCCACATGCCGTAGCTTTGCCAAATACTTGTTTCTTATGTTGTAGTTTAGAAACGTTGTTAAGGAATTTATACTAGCACTAACTTAAGGTGCAAGTACATAAAAAGCTTGAAGTCATGGTTAGGTATATTAATGTCAAATTATAATGAAAGACGACGGCAGGATTTTAGTGCCGCTTCGTAATTCCTTCAAGCTTCTTATGTACTTACACCCTTAGTCCTGAATGCCAACCTAAATCAATGATGTATTAACGTACTAAAACATTTTTTTTTAAATAATTATTATATAAAATTAATATGCCTAAGTAGGGAAAAAACCTGGTGCAGTTTTAGAAATCCACCATAAAATAATTGCAGCCGTGTTTAAATAACTCTATGGCCCGTTCTTATATCTTCCCTTTAGAGTCCACTTTTGTTATCCCTTACTTTAGGAAAAGTAAAAGATCGCATTATCGGGTTCTCATTATTACATCTTTTCATTAAAATATATGCATTTTTTACAGAGATATGGCAAACTTTTTGTAAAAGTACATGGTAGTCACTGCTTTTTTTTTCACAATGGCATCTTCATTTTAGTTTGAAAATAATAAACAAAACAAATTTGTAATTAATTTCGGGAAATAAATTTATATTTTAGTTCTTCAATATAAAATAAACGATTTGCGTTATTAACTTCTTTATTTCAATAAATGTTGTTGTTATTGTCATATTATTAATATAAAATATGACAACATGAATTCAGTAAACTTTACGTTAAAAGATAAAGGGAAGATGGTCTGGCCTTTTGCTTATCGGACAGTTTATATTTAAATGAGACTTGTAATAACGAAAAACGATTTATGTGTCCGACAACATCACACCATATATCGGAAAGATGTAATAACCGGCCTATGAACTAGTGTCAAAATGAATTCGTTTAGCAACAGTTTTACCTAAAATTCAA